GACAGTCCAAAGTTCCTTTCTGTATGATTCATTAAAATTAATGTACAAGAAAATATGAAATATAAATGTTAGAATTGACAACAGACTGAATAATAAGTGACTACAATGATAATCTCTGAACAGGTTATAAAATTATACCTAAAAAAAGTGGAAGAATGGACCAACTGAAATGATGTAGAAACAAACAACAATCAAATTAGGCTAAAAAAATCACTGAATAGTTTAATCTTTATATTAGAAAATATATTTGGACATGATTGATTACAACCTTATTTAAAATTTTACTTTCTCTCATACCAGATTTTGGTTTGAGAAGTAGAAAAAATTACATAGATTCTGTGAACATGTCTTTTGGCAATTACTATCATTAAATGGTTATGGAAACACTGAATAGTTCAGTGAGGCTTTCTGCAAATTCTTCATTTTATTTCACAAGACCCACCAACATATGAATGCAAGAATTATAGGTGGAAATCATTTTCTTTACATACATAAACTTTTAGATCTTCTGGCTCAATTTATTTTCAGTTATTAAATATTTTTTGGTGATGCAGTTGTTCTAATGAGTTCTCCTCTACATTGACAGCATGAATTTAAACTTACTACTAGATTGGCTAAGTCTTATCCTTCTACTGTTGAAATAACTAGATGTAAATGTAACAGTTTCTTTTCTTGTACTTTCCTCACACCTACAATCTTCAAATATTTAAATGCAATGTCAATTGCCATTTTCTGTCTTCCTGAATCCTGTTCTTTTATTGTCATTTCTCCTCACTAAACTCATTCTCTTCCACTTCTACTCCCATCTTAGTGGCATTATTGCCTTCCTTGGGGTGAAATGATTAAAAAAAGATACTGTCTGAACCTATTCAGGTTTATCTGTGAAATAAAACCTTCTAAATTCCAACATTGTTCTAATAAAAACAAATTTTGATGGTCAGACATTTTAACTTCATATTTATATAGTTGAATGTTAAATTTTAGCATCTTTCAGTTATTAGTATATCTTAGTGCAAAGACTTATCTAGTCAGGCCCAGTACACTCAAACACAATTCTGTTTACTCAATTTCACTTACATTCTTGGCTCATCTTGTGGGACAGCTTTTAGTTGCTTCCTACAGATATACACTGAGATCATCTAAAGCTGATATTATCAAAACAGCATTTCAACAAATCAAACCTTCTTGATCTCATGGTCAGAATTCTAATCACTTGGTCAAATGCTCAGTATATATATATATATATATATAATACTTTTCCTGGGTATGATGATAAACTACCTCCAGCAGCAAAGCCTCTGATACAAGAGATTGGAGGTTTTTGAAGATCATGGAACCACATCTTAATTGCTGTTGTTTCCAGGTCCACCCTGACCCAAGGGGTAATACCTGTTAGAGTTCCAGCTATGTGAACTTGAAGGATGAAAGTCAATCATTGGTACCCCAACACCACCAATAAAAATTGGGAGAGATAGACACCTTACTCCTTGTCAAGACATCTCCCTAAGAGAAAGAAAACTCTGATGAGACACCTGCAGCACACTAGCAACTGATGATATTGATGTATTCTCCTTTTCAGATAATTGCTTGTGCTACTCTGAGAGTGGGATTTCCCCTGTGCACCATCTTTCTTCATTTTAAAAATTTCATGCATAGGCATTGCACAATGTTTTGAGAAATCTTACTGGGTGGTGCACATGGCTGACTTAAAAGGCAACTCTATTATGATGAATCACAACAGTATTACAAACACTGGCAATAGGGGCACTGGAATTGTACCTGGTGGAAGGGCCTGGCCTGGCCTGGCAGGAATCTCAGTGGATCACAACCTGTGCCTGGTCATTATACTACTGCAAAAAGTGTTGCATGTTGATTCATAGCAATCAAATGCCAGAAAACATAACTAATATTGTGAGTGGTCATGGCTGGTGAGTCTGTGGAAAGCAATTCAAATCATTAGCCATATGTCATGTCCATGCATGGCACCAGTGAATCTTTGTGGAATTTGAACTCAACATGCCAGTCACTGCTAACTGCACTATGTGCACATCCCTTAGTAAAGATAATATAAATGAAATTGGAACCATTTGATATATATATATATATATATATATATATATATATATATATATATATATATATATATATATATTTAGGCAGCATATTTTCATTCAAGCCCGGTTTGGTTAAATAATTTAGACATATCATGCTGATTACTTTTGGTTTTAAATTTACAGAAACATATATACATACTCACAGACAACTTAATCACCGGAAGATGGTCTCAGATGAGATTTAAAGTACTTGGGACATAATAAAAACTATTCAAAAGAAAATTTTGGTATTTTTCTTATTCAATTTTCTAAATTACCAAAAAATTAATCCTTGAAAGGATCACAACAAAAACTCATTGACATAATATGTCTGAACTATTTGATCAAACCTGTTTGCATATATGAGCTATGATATAAAACTATGCGATCAACATTTTATTTTTTTTTAATTGTTGAAGAACTTTTGGTCGGAAAAACTTTGAAATTTTAATTGTAAGATTATTTTATATTTTTTATTTGAAGAAATAATAAAAAGGTTTTGTTCAAATGGAAAGTTTTTGTAAAGATGATAGTTAAACAAAATTAAAATTAAAGGTTAATGATTGTTATAATGGTGTTATAATGGTAATTAAACAAACTGAAAAACAAACTCCCAAATGATATTTACATCAATATTTATTTGGTTCATAAACGGAGGGTTTGCTTGCCTGGATAGAAATTTTTTTTTTTTTTTTTTTTTTAGAAAAAAAGTTGATCCAAATCACCTCCTACTTTTGTACTAAAAAACAAACACAAATAGCTAAAGGTTTTTCCCACTCAAGTCTTCTAAGAATTCATGTCCTGTATGGAGTGATACCAAATGGGATTTGATATAATTTAGCTAGCCAAGGATTTGTTTAATATTTTGAACACAAAAACTTATTTATAAATTGGGTTTTACTTTGTTTTCACAATTGTTAAAAATGTTTTACTTTCATTTATTTTTATCATCCTCTCACACCATTTTTAGTTTTTAGTCTTTTATTTTAGTTTTTTTTTTATTTTACTATTTTTTTTAATTTTATTTTATAATTTTTTATTTTACTTTTTTATTTTAATTTTTTTCATTCTCACACAGTATTTTTATTTTTCCCCACCACCAAAAAATGTTCACATTTTTAAGCAAATCTCAGAAAAATGCAATATACAACAAAAGTGGGTGATTAAACAAAAAAAATGAAAAATGATTAAAAAAAAAAAAAATCATAAAAATTATTGATCACTAACAAAACCATGACATGAAATAATTTAGAAAGGATAGACAAAGAATGTTAATTTTTCCTTTCTGTTTCTGTACAAGGGAACAAAGGTCAGAGTTCAATACATTGAACTCTGACCTTTGTCAAATAATAACTACCGAAATGTTTCAGGTAAAATTCATTCTGCTAAATACTTAGTCAACATCTGAGACCTTAAAAGGTTACAGGCAAAATCAATAGACATTTTAATAATTCCAAAGTATCATACTAACTGATGGGTAACAAATTAGTATTTAGCTGCCATCACAAATAACTTAAAATTTTATTTTAATCTTAAAAAAAAAAAAAAAAAAAATGATTTCATGTTCTTAAAGAATAAAATATGATCTGTTAGCCAACTAAGAAACCATGATAATTTACAGCTTAGACTTTGAGATATCTTATGCTTATACATGTATTAACTGGTGTCTTTTTCTGAATGTTTTAATGGGTTCAATTTTCTTTTTTCTTCATGGGAATTTTTTCTCATGGCATTTTTTAACAACCAGCAAATAATATATTTTCTGAAAAATCCTTTCAGTAAACCCAGTGTGGAAATGAATACTATATGCAAATCTGCAATAAAACAAAAATCATTGAGAATTTTTTAAGAAAATAATATTTTAAAAAAATACCAATACCAACATATATGAATCCTAAAATCAACATGCCACACTGCAATGAGACAAATGAAAGATCAGCTCAAACCTAAATGTAACTCATATATAATAATAAAAAAAAAGAAAACTTTGCAACAAATCAGCAAAAAACAGAAAGAATCTTGCAATCATGAGATTGCATGTTAGGATATAAAAATAGTATAAATCCCACACTGAATTATTTTTTTAATCATATCACCACATGCAAGGCAATAAAGCCACTAAAGCACAATGGGTTAATGAGTGTGAAAGATTAAGAAAAAAGAAACAAAGAGTGAGAACAATAGAAGTGTAATCAAGAAGACAGCAGATAATGATTGACGTTATATTTAAATTTTTGAAAAGTTGGCTGGAAAGCATGGTGCCAGAAGAAAGTTCCACTTGTGAGAAAAGAAACTGTTTGCATAGAACTTACAGCTACATCTAGTCAATTCAAGTGTAAACTGATAAGACTTTGCTGCCAATCTAGTGCTGTGCTTAAATTCATAAAATCTAGGTACCACAGTGAAGAGGTCATCCAAAAAGTTACCATGAAAGTATTTAGAGAAAAGGCACAAGGAAGCTACATTACAGTGATGAGAAATTGACAAGCTGAGATGTCAGGTCAGGACCAATAATATTGCTGATTCTTCTTTGGATTTTATCAAGAATCTCTAAATATACAGCAGAAGCAAATGTGTTAGAAAAAAAAAAGATTCTTCAAATCAGTATAAAGGCACTAGAACAACAAAGAATTGACCACAGACTGAATAATAAAAGTGACCACAGATCTCTGAACAGGTTATAAAAATGGAAGAATGGACCAACTGAAATGATGTAGAAACAAACAACAATCAAATTAGGCTAAAAAAAATTCACTGAATAGTTTAATCTTTATATTAGAAAATATATCTGGACATGATTGATTACAACCTTATTTAAAATTTTACTTTCTCTCGTAACAGATTTTAGTTCGAGACAAAGTAGAAAAATTACATAGATTCTGTGAACACGTCTTCTGGTAATTAGCATCAGTAAATGGTCATGGAAGCACGGAATATTTCAGTGAGGCTTTCTGCAAGTTCTTCATTTGATTGCATGACTGGTGATAGTTTTGTAACTCGATGCTGGAATCAAAATAAAGAAAAATATTTTGTAGATAAAATTTAGATCTCATGACATTGTTTATTTTACCCTGAGAAAAAAATTGATCCAACATAAAATGTGAAATGTCAATTAATGGTTTGGAATATTGCAGAAAGGTTTGCTTCTCACAACTGAATAATTGTTTTAAAGACACTCAAAGGTTAATGTTTTGCCATTTTCATTTTATGCTTATTTATTGTTTCCAGAAGTATATAAAATCATTCATTTTCCTTTGTCATTGAATTTCTTACATAGGTTTAGTGAGACCTGAGAGTTGTTGTGAAGGCAGAAACAGCTAACCTGGAAGACTTTGTATTTGTTGTTACTATTGTGAGATTAATTCCTTCTCCACGTCAGCAAACATAAATCCAAGTGTCAAACAAAAGAGGACATTGAGTAAGAGTAAATAAATGTATAATTTACATATAAACAAAGATTGGTAACTGTTGCTAAGGTAATAAAAGAGAGAGAGAGAGAGAGAGTGGTGAAATTAGAAGTGAAATGGACATCCATAGTGGCTGTTGGTGGTGGTGGCATCTCTCTGTCAGTGTGTCAGTGTTGACATCAAATGCTGATCTGTGTCAGGTCTGTTTGAATTTGAGTATATATAGTTTTTAGTTGGCTCAAAATTAAGGTTTTGAATGGGAGTGGCTGTGACTGGTCATAATATATTATTAATTTTGCTTTGATTAAAGTGGATGTGTGCATAAAGCCAATGCACAGAAAACATATTTACACAGTCTGCTTTTAGTTGTCGGGTGGTCAACATTTTGGTTACAAATAATATTAACTCATAACATCAAAAGGACTTTTTAAAAGCTTATGGCCTCATTTTTATAGTCTTGGTATATAAACAAATAAAAAATATACTATTAAAATTGTGTTTAGGAAAATATATAATAAATAAAATACAAATAAAAATGTACAAAGAATATTTTTTTTAAATCTTTAAAAATTGTCTTGAAATAATTACCTGTGGAAGTGTTCCTTTCACAAGACTGGGTATGTCATCCTCTGTGTAACCCAAGGCTTTCAGACCATTGGGTACATTCAAGTCATGGAGGATAGTGCAGAGCCTGTCGGACAGGATGAGACCAGCATCTGCTTTTTGTTTTCCAAGTATATCAACACCTGAAAAAGACATTAAAAATAAAGGTGTTCACTGTGTGTAGCAATTTACTGAAATCACTTATCAAACTTTTCTTTTTAGGGACCAATCTTACTGAATTAAGTTATCTGTATTTATGAGATAAAGTATTTTTTTATTAAACAATATTTAAAACTATAACCAGAATGATTTTTGTTGTTTTCTTCTCATACTTAATGGCTGATACCTTCTTTTGAACATTTGAATTTAGCTTAACTTGCATGAAAGCAAAACAAAAAAGTAGGTTTATGATGAGAATTGAATTGAGAATTGAATTCCTAAATCTCTATTTCCCACTGAAATCTCATTCCTATATTCTTATTTCCCATTGAATTCTATTCCTTATATTTTAATTTATTACTGATTTCAATTCCTTACATTGCTATTCCTGACTGGAATCTCATCCCTATATTCTTATTCCCCACTGAATTCTATTCCTTACATTCCTATTCCCCATTGAATTCTCATCCCTATTTCTTATTCACCTCTGAATTCAGATGTTTATGCCTCAGTAAATATCATTAGCCTTTTAACTTTTAAATTAAAAAATATTTTAGGGCCAAAAGTGCTTATATCTATAATATATTTCTTAAGTTTTCAATTAAAACATGCAAAGACTCTTCTTTCTCTAAATTTTGTGACTGCAATGTTCAATCAACATCAACACTAAACATACAAGGAAAAAGCTGATCATTGGTTGCACAAAACTGTAAACAGAATTGGAAAGGTAACCATACCTAGCAAAGCTGCTGATTTTAAATGCCGTTCAGGACATGCTGAGGCAGTGAATTTGAAGACGGCAGGAGCAGTGATGGAAACAGAGAGACCATGAGGCTGTAAGCAAACAAAGAAACAGAGAAAGAGAGAAATGAAATAGCAAAGCATATAATGTAATGTTGATGTATGGAGGCCAATTTTATTTTGTTATAACTTTATAAATACATGAGCAGAAGTGCCCAGATTTTCACGGGTTTCTAAATATCTAAAATTCAATACAATCAGATGTGATCACTATACTTTTATATCAACTGTTTTAAATAAAAGGTGACCACCTTTACATTGATCCAGAAATTTTGATCTTTAAAAAAAAAAGAAATGTTGCTTCCGAGCAATTAAGAAAATATGTCTGTTTTACATTTGTTGTGTGATTTTTGTCTAGCGGCATATCAACAAATCTATGGGTTATTTAATGCCGAAATCTATATTTAGATTGAACACAATCATTTTATGTTTTCATATGTGGGTAGTGTAATGGTTAATGGCTTGAAAATATAAATCAGCAGGACAAGTTCAAATCCCAGCCAAGTTTATTACATTCATTCACACAAATACCCTTGGGAAAAGTATGAATCTATGTCTTCTGGTACCACTGTGGATTAAATAGAAGAGTCTTGATTAGCAACCAGTGTAGGAGATGAACAATTCTAAATTCAAAAGAAGTTGGTGAGCTAACAAAAAGATAGATCTTCAACCTTGGTTAGCAATCTGTCTAATGATGATGACTGAATAAAAAAATTCAATTTTTACATCAATATCCAAATTTTAATACTTATTGCTGATAAGGTAATATACGGGGTGCGATAGGTAAATTGTTGCCATTTTATATCTTTAATTTCACACATTTGCCTTGTTTTTTTTTTTATTTGGTTGACTGTCAGTTGGGCATCATCTGTGATAAAAGGAGCACCATGACACAATTCACCAATTGGCCAATCATGTCTCTTGTGATTAATGACTGACTAGGCAGAGGATTTTCCCTACAGTAGGTTGTCATTTCTTTCTGCAGTAGACTGGTTGCCAAACAATGCTATATAACCCAGTGTATCCTGCTATTCAACCCATAGCCAGGAGGAGAAGAGATGGATTCATTCCTTTCCCAAGGGCATTGAACTTTAATGAATGCAACAAACTCGTCTCTTTGATTTCACATTCTGAACTGATATCCATTACACTACAATACAAAATATTAGAAATACTTACAATTATAGGATTATCTGTGGGATAATCTTCTGCTTGATAATCCTTCACTAATCCTGCAATTGGATATGACATGCCGTGGCTGCAATAAAGATTTAAGGAAAAAGGTTTTCAGGATTGATTTTTTTTATTTTAAGAGCTATTTTTTTTATTCCATAGCTATTTTAGCATATACATTTGTCATGCATGGAAACATTTGTAAGATGATTTACAAATAAATTACCTACAAGTTATTTGAACTGAAATGTGTACAGAATGTTCTTACTAACGTTATTATGTTGCCAATGCACTTACATACTTTCATTCAACTCATTGCCTTATTAATTGTAAATATTGTGAATAAGATTAAGCCTACTAAACATCTACAAATAAATCTTAGACAATATTCGAAACTGAAAACTGGTTTAGCACAGGTTAAACTCTATAACTCCTTTTCTGCTCATCTGTGTGACTCCTATTTGGGTTTTTGATCATGCATGCAAATTAGCAATAGTTTTACAAGTAATAGAACCATGCATGCACTTTACCTAAATTGCAAATGGTGGTTCTGGTCAGGCAGGCAGTACATCATGGTCTCTTAGCCACGGGTAAATAAGAATTCATTGTTCCTATTTCACCACAAAAAGAAACTTGAATGTTTAAGTATATCTATTCTCTCATTTGGAAAATGGCAGATAACCTTTATTTTTTCCCAACAGAAAAAGGCAAACAGACAAGAATATACACTTGAGTTTCAAAATAGATGAGATTGTTGGAATAAAAAAATGTGGGTAGAATTTTTTTAAATTATTTTTTATAGTTTTATATGCATATCAAGCTGTTAACTTTCCATGCTAACTTAAATAAAAAAGATTTGAAAGGAAATTTCCATCAATACTAGAAAGAAAGATATCAGTGAACGTGAGAATTCTATTTTCCTGAAAAACTGTTTTAAAAAATATGTTTTTATAAATTCCAACCAACAACAATGCTAACTGATTGGGCAGTCACTCAATGCTAAATGTTTGGAAATTGCTAATTCCAATATTACCATACCTGTTGTTTATCATACAATCATTTTTAAATCGAGAAAATTGTACATTGTGGATTTGATTACATGAAAGTGGAGAGATACAATTCAATCATCATTATCTGAGAAAAAACATTCTAGATTGTTAAGTAATGTGTGTAAAAGTCTTAAAATTTTATCACTATGTACACAACAACTGATTACAGCTCTTATGGAAATGCTGAAAACATTTACCAAATACAGATTCTACTTTGGCAATATCAAATAAACCTTGTCTTACCATAAGTGCACTCCAGAATTTCCAAAACCAATTCCTGCATAGCTGCTGGCCAACAACATGGAAGATCTGGCTTCCATGTCTTCAGCATTAAAGACAGCCCTATGAACCAAAAAAAAATTCAGAAATAAATTTTTGTCTAAGAATGTATAAAGAAAAAATAGGGCAAAGTTAATAGTTTTTTTGTTTATTCTGTGTTGAAAATGTGTGTATTTAAAAAGATTTTGACAGCACCAAGTCTTCTTTCAAAATTATGAGAAAATAAAATCTGAAAATTTTCATTAAATAATGATAAAATGTATTGTGACAAATTTAGGTTATAATTTGTTACATCTCTGTTCCCTTATTTCTTCACCTTTTCATGCGACTTTCATTGGTCTTCCTCATACCAGCTGCCTTTTGTAATCTCCAAAGAGAGAAATGTCTTTGTAGGAATTACTCTCTTTGTTTTCAGCTAATGTACTCTAGCCTTCTCCAGGCTTCTGTTGATCCAGGTAACCTTCAAGGAATTTGAAACTGAACCCATTAAGTAATTTACTTTAAGAAGAGGAATAGATTTTTTTTTCCATTCCATTGTCCCTATCTAGGGACATCTCATCTTGTTCTTTTTTATTACTATTTGTACCTAAGGATTTAACTCACAATTACTATACCACCAAAATTCATGAATCACTGCTTTAAATCACAGGACAATAGTCAAGAGGATTAAAGTGTTGGTTTATGAATTTAGTTGCATAATAATTGTGAGTTCAATCTCTGGGCTGGGTAGTAAAAACTCAAATTAAGTGGTAACAGAGCTAGCAATAACAGAACAAAATGAAATAGCCCTAGACATGGACAGTGGAATAGGGACAATCTACCACCACAGTTAAAATAAAAAGTTGAGTTCAAAATATGCTGAAGGTTAACCAGATTGACAAATTAACAGACATTAGTTCGACTGTAAATAATGTAAAGAAAATTCACCTGACCAAATAGTTGTTGCATATTTTCAAACAGGCTTCTGTCCAAATGTCACTAATTGGGTTAGAACCTTGATATGCTGGTCTCAGCTCTGGACTGGCAGGCCTTGGGGTTCTCTCGTTGTATGGAAGAGCCGTATAGGACTCAAGAGCATGGCTAGAACAAGATAGTAAAAATCTTTTATTACGATTTTGACAAAATTTATTAATATACATTGATTTTTATTTAGGATTCTTTTCATAATTGTTATTTGTATATAAACATTTTGGCTGGATCATTTCTTTTTCATGTAAATTTAGTTGAGTGCAAAAATGTGTTTTTTGCTTTGTTTGATAATCGGTTACAACGATTAACTTAAATACACGGAATTTTCTTGTCTGTTAGTTATCTCCCTTGCATTTGCAATGTACTGTAGTAGTTTTGTATTAGAGTTATCTCCCTTGCAAAAACGAAGTCAAGTGGCAGAATTTTTAATAGATTTTTTCTTTTGGCAATACGCTGACGCGTTTGAAATCCTTACAGTATTTATAGTATTGTTGAAGTTATCGTTAACAGTTTTTGTCGAAATTTACTAACTCTAAGTTTCGTTCAATTTCGAAAACCAACCGATGAAAGCCTTAAAGAAATATATGCAAAAAACAATATTGCATTTTTATTAAATAAGTATTTGTTATTTTAATTATATATATATATATATATATATATATATATATATATATGAGTGTGTGTGTATGTATGTATGTATATATATATATATATATATATATATATTTATAGATGACAAAGGCAGACTGTTGCAAGTTATTTCAGAAGTAAGGAGGTAAAAAGATTGTCAAATATCAAAGTACAACTGTAGTAATTGGATGGAAAAAAATATGTCTAAAGGCTTACATATGAAAGTAAGAATTTGTACTATCATTTTCATATCAGCCATTATTTTTTATGCCACAAGTAAACATTTATTACGTATTCATTTGAACATATAAAATTTACTTATAAAATGTAAACAGAAAATACTTTACCTTTCCTAGATATCATGTAACAATGCACTAACAATAGCCTAGATCTAAGTGTCCATTGCAAATCAACTAATAAAAATGATCTCATACGTTTCTATTCTCACCATAACAACAAAATAAAATTCAGAATGATCATTGGATTCTATATTAAAACACTTAAAATTTGTAACACTCAGTATTTATATGAAGAGGAGAAATACATTGAAAATTCTTTTAAGCTTCAAAAATCAAATCCTATTTGAAAGGAACAAGATTTCAAGACATCAAAGAAATCCAAGATAATGTAATGAGGCAGTTGCTTGCTATCCCCAAAAAGGAATGCTTCACTCAAAGGAAATGACACTGGATTCATGTGGCTTTAGAAAATGATGACTTTTAAAGAGATTAAATGCTGAATTGATATGTGTTATAGTTTTCTTTTTTATCGCACAAATCCTGATACTTTTTGATCAGACTATATATATATATATATATATATATATATATATATATATATATATATATATATATATATATAGATACATAGATAGATAGATAGATAGATATATATATAACTGTATCTATCTTTATTTTTCTATTGTATTTCTAATTCCAGTTTCTCCTGGTCCTTTCAGAAATCTCTCTTAATCAGTCTAACAACCTCAATTTTCATAGAATATAAACATTAAATTCTCCAATTGAAATCTTTTCTCTGACTTCCCATTCTGCTTTATACTTGAGTGGTCATGTGTTCTGCTTCATTTCACTAGTTCTTTGTTGAAACTGAAAAATTAGTCCAGGCTGATAGACTTTGTTTTCTTGTCCTGCATTTAATGCATAATTTCTTCTACTTAATGAGAACCTTTTCCGCAAAGTGCAATTGACAGTGTTTGTGTTTTTGCTCTTCTTTGTATTCTGCCATGATTGTTACTATGGCAGTATGTCTGTATAAAAATACAAGTTCATTCATCCATGACTCTATCAGCTGTGGACTAAGCAATAATGTACTGACTGTAATTATTTAAATGACTCAATTAGTTCTATACTTGCATACCTATTATAAAGTTTAATTTATAAATGATGTGCAATCAGAGATTAACAGCAATGACTAACAGAAGAATCATAACAGTATACAGGGTATGATGGATAAATTGTCTAAATTACGCAAAAATAATAGAGACCTCTCATTTTAACAGATACATTTGACAAAATTGCACAAAAGTATCTTGAAATACTAAAGAGTAAATTTATTTAATAAAATCAACATTGGCTTCAGCCATGGCCTCTAGATGACTTCAGAATTTCCTGCAACTCTTCTGGAGGTACTCCTTGTTTAAGTAGGTGAATGCTGCCATAATCCTTGCCTTCAGTTTATCTTTGATGTTACAAGGAGTTTTATTGGTCTCTTGCTCAACTGCACTCCACATGTAATAATGAAGTGGGCTACAGTCTGGGGAGTTAAATGGCCAGCTGTAAGTGGTGATGTGGTTGCAGAAATTGTCTGAGAGCCATGACTGTATTCTCCTGCTTGTGTGGCATGGTGCTGAGTCATATTGCCGGACATAGGGTCTTTCAGCAGCCACTCTCTTGACCCAGGGTAGCACTACCCCATCATGGCACTTGATGTAGGCTTCTGTGTTGAGTCTGAAGCCCTCACCAATAAATTCAGGAGTTCTTTTCTTGTTAGAATGATCAGAGTGATTTTTCCAAGGTGCCATACCTTCATCTCCTGCTTGCGTGGCATCATGTTGCCAGTCATAGGATCTTCCCAGCAGCAACCAAAGAAGAGCACTACAACTATACATATACATATATATAAATATATATATATATTAAACATAATAAATCCATTGGTATATAATCCAAGTGGATCCTAGTAATATAAAATATTAAAACTGGTCCACAAAAAGATCTCAGTGTATTTATTATACAGAGCAAATAAATAGTAGTAAACCATAAAATCCAAAATTATCTGATATGGATTATGGACCTGTTCAACTAACAAAAAATTTGTCAGTCTTATTCAACCCCAGTATATATGGTGGTCTTTTTCTCACAGATGATGCCAACCTGACAATACTATACTATGCAGTTGACAAAATAAAAACAATGTGCATGTGCAAAATTAAAAAATAAAATAGCGACAATTTACCCATCGCACACTGTATATAATTCTTTACAATTATATATAAATCTTTACAATTATATATTATGTATAAATCTTTACAACTCTATATTATATATAAATCTTTACAATTATATATTATATATAAATCTTTACAATTATATATTATATATAAATCTTTACAATTATATATTATATATAAATCTTTACAATTATATATATATATATATATATATATATATATAAAGTGAATATACATAATATCCTACTTCAACAGCTTGACTCAAAGTTTCATGCAAATGCAGACTACTCACTGACTATTAAGCATTTTGAAATTCACTTGCTCGTTGTGTTGATTTAAAATTGTGTGTTATGACTTGTTTATTTTATTATTGTTGTCTATAATATTTTGAATTAATTATTTATCATTTATATCAGTCAAATTCTTAAGTTTGAAAGACAAAAAATTAAAAAAAAATCATTTTAAACAATTTAAAAAATTTGAATGTACATAAACATGCTATGTATCAAGAGGCATAACTCCCTTTTTTGCATAAAAAAACCACCATTAGTTTTAATAGAAATGATTAGTCCTTATTAAAATATATTAAAGTAATGTCTTATGGAATAAATTTAGCTCTCACAATGTTAAGTTAATTATAAGTTAAGACAATATATATAATGTATTCAGAACCTAGCCTTATACTTACAAATTTGAATTACATAGAGACACATATTAAAATAATCAAGTACTATCTATAAGTTGCAATTATATATATGTACAGATAAATAAAAAATGCTATGAATATTAATAGGTGTTACATATATTAATATTTGTAAAATATATTTTAATCAGAGTCAAAGTGCTTGAGCAGGTGCTTATTTTTATGTAGACACCAATTCACTTTTTTGTTCAGTAAGTTAGGGTTATTTAAGTGCTTTAAACTAATAGGTTTTTCTAACAAACATAAGTTACATCTGTCTCCTATATATATATATATATATATATATATTCTAGCAGACATACCCAGCTGGTCGATCAGAAAAAGTGTTCAATTAGAATGGAGCAAAAATAACATCATGTTTAGATATAACAGAGTCTATCTTCTTCAATTACTTTAAAGTACTTTCATCAAATAACATTTTGAGTAAGTGCAGTTACTGATATGACAGAAGTAGTCTGTATTTATTCAATCAAAGTTAGCTGAGGACATGAATAGGCAAAACAAGCAACATGAAGACCCAAATCAGACCACAATTATTTTGGAGTTTTTTAAATTCAATTTGTCAGTGTGCTACCAGGGATGTAAAAGTGGATACATTTATAAAGCAACTGCTAAGTTTGATGAAAATTGGTTGAAAGATCAATAAAAACTAAGAAAGAAACCAGTAAAAATTGCCATTTTTGGCTATTTACGTGGGCTTTCACTATATGGGTGAACTCAATTATCAAGCTAAATGACTGTTAAACAATCAAATTATTGTTGGCTACAGTTGAGTGAAGTCTGTATTAGATTGTTTGAAAATTGAGGCTTTTAGTTTACAATTTGTGTTGAAATCAAGTGGCATAGAAATAAAAATGCAGTATCATTGAGCTCATCATGATGTAAGTAACATACATACTGAGTTTGAACAAAATTGTAGGAAAAAAGTAGAATTTATCAATTTTTGATCAGCTTCATTGATTATTAATTTTTTTTAAATTATTGATTTTTTTTAGCTAAAAATGTATATGCCAAGTTTGGTCAAAATTGGTTTGATGGATCTTGAGTGAAAAGGTATCACACAGACATCCTGCATTTTATATATATATATAAATAAAAAGAAAGAACAGTAAGATATATAATCCGGTGTTCTTATAGATATTTTTATTTTTACAAAATAGTGCTCAATGTAAATTTACAGAGCATTAATATTATAAATTGATTTATTTAAAATGTTTTTTTCGCTACACAGTTCTAACGATGTTTAAAAAATGGAAGCTAAAAGCTACGAATTTAATTTCGTAATTAAATTAAAGACATTAGTTCCAT